TCCAGTAAAAAATCAACCTAAAAAACCCGGAAAAACCCAATAGTTTTCCAGTATAACTCAACACTAAAAACCAGGTAACCCCAACTGTAACCCCGTTAATCAACACAATAACCCAACTGTATCCTTTTTTTAACTCAACACTAAAAACCCGGGAAAAACCCAATGTAATCCGTAAATCACACAAATAACCCCCGGAAAACCAACTAGAAATCATTTAAAAACTCAACACTAAAAACCCAGGATAACCCCAAAACATTTTCCAGTATAACTCAACATAAAAAACCGGAAAACCCCAATAGTAATCCAGTTAACTAAACCTAAAAACCCCAAAACTGAAATCCAGTTAACCAACACTAATACCCGGGGAAACCAAAATTTGTAACCCGTAAAAATAAACAAAAAACCCCGGAAAACCCCAACAGAAATCAGTATAATCACCTTCCCCCGGATAACCAACTAGTAATCCGATAACTCCCTTTTTAACCCAATAGTAATCAGTATAACTCAAACAAAAACCCAGGAAAACCCCAAATTTTTTCCAGTATAACCAACCTAAAAACCCAGGATAACCCAATGAATCCTTTTAAAAACTCAAACAAATAACCAGGATAACCCAACTAGTAATCCGATAATCAACACAAATAACCAGGTTAAACCCAATAGTTCCGTATAACTCAACATAATAACCCCCAATAGAAATCAGTTAACTCAACACTAATAACCAGGGTAACCCAAACTAGTAATCCAGTATAACTAAAATAAAAACCCCAGGATAACCCAACTAGAAAACCAGTAAACTCCACTAAAAACCGGGTTTACCCAACTAGAAATCCCGTATAATCAATTTTAACCAGGAAAAACCCAACTAGAAACCCAGATAACTCAACATATAACCCAGGATCCCCCAAAACTGTAATCCTTTTAATCAACACTAAAACCGGAAACCCCAACTAGAAATCCAGTAAAACTCAAACTAATACCCAGGATAACCCAATGTAATCCGTATAATCAAACTAAAAACCCCAGGTACCCAACTAGTAATCCAGTTAACTCAACATTAAAAACCCCGGAAAACCAACTGTAATCCAGTATAACTCAACACTAAAAAACCCAGGTAACCCAACGTAATCAGAAAAACTCAACAAAAAAATAACCAATAGTAATCCATTTAAATCAACACTATAACCCAGGTTAACCAATAGTAATCCGTATAATCAACCTAATCCCCAGGAAACCCCCAACTGTAATCATTTAAAAACCAACTAATAACCCAGGATACCCAAATATTAATCCAGTATAATCAACATTAATAACCCAGGAAAACCCCAACTGTATCCAGTAAAAACTCCACAAATACCAGGAAAACCCCAACTAGTAATCCAGTAAAACCAACACTAATAACCCAGGAAACCCCAACTAGTAATCCAGTATAATCACCTAAAAACCCGGGAAAACCCCAATATTTCCCCGGTTAAATAAACACTAACCCGGTTTTACCCAATTTTATCGTTAAAAATTCAACACAAAAACCCAAAAACCCCTTTTATCCAGATAATCAACACTTAAATTTTAAACCAGGTTAACCCCAAAACTGTAATCCAGTTACTCAACACTTAAAAAACGGATAACCCCCAAACCTGGTTTCAGTTAACTCAAACTAATAAACCAGGATAAAAAACTAGTAATTTTCCAGTAAACTCAACATAAAACCCCGGGATAACCCCCAAACCTAGTAAACCGTATAAATCAAAAATAATAACCAGGGAACCCAAATGTTTTCCAGTAAATTTCAACTTTAATAACCCCGGGGGAACCCAACTAGTAATCCAGATAACTTCAACCAAAATAACCGGAAAAACCCCTAGTAATCCGTATAAAAAAACCATAATAAACATTTTAATCGTTAAACCAAACCAAATTTTACCCAGGAAACCCCAATAGTATCCAGTATAAATAAACACTAATTTCCCAGGAAAAAACCCAATGAAACCAGTTTTAATTTAACCCCTTAAAGGGTAAAACCCAACTAGTAAACCAGTATAATTTTAAACTAAAAAGGTAACCCAAATAGTAATCCAGTATAACTTCAAAAACTAATAACCCCAATTTAATTCGTTAACTCAACAAAAAAACCCGGGAAAATAACCCAAAATAGTAAAGAAATCACCACTTAAAAACCCCCAGGAAACCCGAAAATTTAAACTTTAAATAGTAAATTTTTGGGGGGGAAAAAAAAAGTACCTTAATTTAGGTTTTAAATTAAAGAAAACATTGAAAAATATGAGTTTTTTTTAAAAGTGTCTTGGGTAAAAAGTTTTTAAACGGGGGAAGTTTATTGGGTGTAAGGGGTTGCCCTCAATCATTGGGAAAATTTTTAAAGTGGGAAGGTAAAAAACTTGCATTTTTTTCAGAACGTTTCTTCCGAAAAGGAAGGGAAAAAATTTGTGTTCATTTTGAAAAATCTTAAAAACCTAAGAAAAAAAAATGTTTTTTTTGTTGTTTGTTTTTATTCCTTTTTTTAATTATCTTTTATTTTTTGGGAAAATTAGGCAAAATTAAATTTGCGATTCTTTAATAAGATTAGGTAAGTTTCCTAAGTTCTTTTGGTACAAAATTATTAATTTTTACATTAACAAAAATGAAAAAAATTTTTTTAAAAGTAAAGAGAAAATTTTTAGAACCAATTTTAAATGAGTTCTTGTTTAAATGACCAGTTTTACCCATTCGGCCGACACCACACACATATTATATTATATATATATTATATTATATTTATATATATATTTATTTATATTATATTATAGGAAGAGGAGGAGAGAGAGAGAAGGGGGAGGTTGGTGGGTTTGTTGATTAAGACAGAGCACCAAAAAGTTTACTGGTGGACAAATCGTCTTCTCGAGATATGTATGTATGTCTACACTCACTCCCAGGTGTATGTGACAGTCTGGTGTAGACACGAGTTATGCAGCTCCCACTATTTTTGTACGTTTAGTTTAAAACAAAACAATGACGAACACAAATAAACAACATGTATGGTAAACATGAGTGAAAAGATATTGAAGTGTACAATTATAGAAAACGTTAAAGGGGATATTAAAAATGACTGATCATGAGGGGTTTCATTTTGTCGTTTATTTCCTCGGGAAACGCTCAAACCCCCAGGGCGATACATCCTGGGAAAAGGGAAAGTAATCAGGTTTGTGAACGGGAGAGGGACAAATTCCCCCCTACACTCCTACCAGCTGAAGGGCGTTCCCCCCGCTAAAACAAGGTACCACTGAAAGTCTTTATTCTATGACAATGGTTTAAAACTTTTTTTAAATGAAGCACTTGGGTCACCCACATACATGACAGCATTGAGTCACCCCATCCCCTGACGCCTTGGGTCACCCCCAAAACATGACAGCACTTGGGTCCCCACAAAACTGACAGCACTTGGGGGCACCCACATACCTGACAGCACTTGGGTACCCAATACACTGACAGCACTTGGGTCACCACATACATGACGCCTTGGGGGCACCCCAAACATGAAGCCCTTGGGGCCCCCACTAGACTACGCCTTGGGTCACCCCCATACATGACGCACTTGGGTCACCCACTTTGACGACAGCACTTGGGTCCCACTAGACTGACGATTGGGTCACCACAAAGATGACGCACTTGGGGCACCCACATACCTGCGCACTTGGGTCACCCCCTACATGACAGCACTTTGGGGCCCCAATACACTGATGAATTGAGTTTAAGTTGTTTTTTAAAATCAACAGAAAATTAAAAAAAATATTAAATATAAAATATAAATATATATATTTTTATTATATATATTTAAATATATAATATATTATTTTTATATTTTTTAATTATATATATATATTTTATATTTATATATATTATATATATATATATTTAATATTATATATAATATATTTTATAATTTTTTATATATATTTTATTTTTAATTTTTATTGTTTTATATATTATATATATATAAATTATAATATTATTTTTAATTTTTTTATATATAATACAGAAGAAATAAATGAGGTACGACTCACAAAAAATGTTACTGGGGATTATTAAAATTTTTAAAGTGTGAGTATCTTGGAGTTACGCGTCACTTCAAAAAATGGGGGCCCTTTTGGCCCATATGTAAAAAAAATAATTACAATTTGAAAAATTCTCAAATGCAATAAAGCTATGAATGTTTACTCCCCCTCCATTACAACAACAGAAATTGCATTCCGTCGCTCAGTGCAAATTATGGTTTTATTTTAGATTTCTATTATATAAAAAAAAGTTTTTTCTTCTGTAATCACATAACACATCAGCTATTAGTTTGATTGAATAGTTGTTTTTTTCGCCTGAGGAGGAGCAGATCTCCGCGAGTGTAAATGAAAATTCATTGTTCAGGTCCACTGGTTGACCTCGGCTATTTTGAACCTCTCTCACAAAACATGTTCACTCCCTTGCTGTCCGGAAAGTTTTTTCTTTAAAATAATTAACATTAGTCACCCAAATATACCTTTTTATTTTTTTGAGTTGGAACCCATGGTTTCCCAGGTATGCTTCATTAAGTACATTAAAAACTTATCAAATCTCTTAAATGCCAGAGTATTTTTTTATCAAAATTAATGGCAATATATATATATATATATATATATATATATATATATATATAATATATATTATATATATATATATATATATATATATATATATATATTGCAATAAGATCACAGTAAACAGGTGATTTCAGAATATGCAAAACAACCACTCTGAAAAAATAGAGAAATTCCAAGCGCTTTCGTGACTACTCACATTATCAAGGAACAATGATAATGTGAGTAGTCACGAAAGCACTTGGAATTTCTCTATTCTTTCAGAGTGGTTGTTTTGTATATATATATATATATATATATATATATATATATATATATATATATATATATATATATATATATATATATATATATATATATATATTATAAAAATTCACTGATTACTTATAAATTAAGGTATTTGTTTTTAAATGCAAGCCAGGAGGCCTGGTCACAGACCGGGCCGCGGGGGCGTTGACCCCCGAAACTCTCTCCAGGTAAACTCCTCTTATTATTGGAACAGCATTGTTTACCCTACAATTTAAGATCGTGAATAAATTTTATCATAGAAAATTGTCATTTATAATTTTTTGGACTATGGCTATACTGTATTATTTACACTGTTGCTCTTATCATATTTTTTACACTTTTTTAACATCTTTGTGTCAGTATAGGTAACACCACTTTCTTGGTTTTCTGTTTCCTGATAACACGTAGAAATAATATTTTTTTGTCACAACACATAAAAACAAAGATAGTGAAAGTCTGGAAAATATGTTGGTAAAAGAAAACCGAAGCCTAAGATGCTTGTCCCAGCAGAAAACATCAACGGAAGAATCCTTTTATGTGGGCGCCGAGAGAGAGCTGCTCTGGTAAATCCTAGACTTGTGCATATAAGCCTCTGACACCTTTCCTCCAGGTTGTGTCTTGGGCTACGCTTTACGAGGCTTCTTAGTAGCCATCATATTCAGAGGGTCTTTACCGTACCTAGCAAACACCTCCCTCTTGAAACCCTCGAACAAGCGACGATTAGCATTGTTCTGTTTCTCTCTCCATGCTGGGCGGCTCCTCTTCACCTGCATCCCCCAGTGAAGAGTGAAGATAGGGGAGAGGACATGGAAGGTGTACCCTGAGACGTGCATCTCATACACCTGTAGATGTATGAGAAACAATTATATTAGTGGCATACAATGCTGGCAAGTTAAGATAAGATTTCGTTTTGATTTTTAACCCCGGAGGGTTAGCCACCCAGGATAACCCAAGAAAGTCAGTGCGTCATCGAGGACTGTCTAACTTATTTCCACTGGGGTCCTTAATCTTGTCCCCCAGGATGCGACTAACACCCAGGTACCTATTCGCTGCTAGGTGAACAATAGGTGTAAGGAAACGTGTCGAAATGTTTCCACCCGCCGGGAATCGAACCCGGGCCCTCCGTGTGTGAAGCGGGAGCTTGAGCCACCAGGCCACCGGGCCACCTGATAGCTTGAACACAAGTGCAGCACTTACATATCTTTATTTGTAGGAGTTTATCCAAGCAGTGGCTTTATTTTAACACAATAGTGACATACACCGAAGATTGTAGAATTGTTTACAGAAGACAGTAGATGGGACAGTCAGCCCTCAGTCCAAGAGGACACCAAAACTACGGTATTGAACACAGTCCTTCTAGGCTAATTACCTCATCTACTTTCTTACGTTAGGTTAGGTAAGGTTTGTCAGGAAACAGGACAAGTGTTTCCTGACGCGGGTCTTAGTCATATGATGACCTGCAGCTGAAGCTTTTGGTCAGCTGACCGATAAGATAGAATACCACTCTCAGTACCTACAATGTTAACATTAAGCACTCGAGCTGTTTATTCCTTGAAATAAATAACTGGAATGTAAAAAAAAAAAAATGGTTCAGAGAAACGAGAGGATAATGAATTAGATACCTGTGCAACACTTAGGTATCATTATTGTGGAAAATTTTCGCCAGTCTGTGGCTTCCTCAGTCTAATACACAAAAGAATGGTCGAAGATCAGAAAGATTTTGAGGTAATCAGTCCCTCATCCTGGATTCGACTCCAGGCCGAGAGACTGGTTACCTCACACTCCTCCTGGTCTTTAAACCCATTATAAATAATGGGTACCATCACCTGACTAACCTCCCCATTCAAAATATTAAATAACCATTTGTTAGGTTAATTTACTTCCGGTTCACAATCTTAATTAGTTTTCTCATTAAATATTTTAATGAGAAACCTTCATCAAGAAATAAAAGCGAACACATTTTATTAATCTTAATTAACAAGCAAGTGTTCGTCGCCAGAGTTTGATCGAAGTTTATATTTTTTTTTCTAATATTACGCATGGGTGCAATGGTTTAAAATCTTCAACGAGGTCTGTACACTGGCTTCATTATTGACTCACCTAACCTCCCACAACCCAAAATATAAACCATAAAAACCCCCACCTAAAACCCCTCCATAAAAAATGAAACCTCCTCAAAATAAAACCCACACAAAACCATAAACCATCAACTCCCTACAAAAAATGAACAAACCCTTCCATTCAATGAAACAACTCAACATTGAACACCCTTCCATCAACAAAATAACACCTCCATCAACCATGAACCCCTAAACCAACACATGAACCCCATAACACCCCCAAACAACACCTTTGAACACCCTCCAAACACCATGAACACAACATCCACCAACATGAACACCCTCCTTCCCAACAAAAGAACCCCCCATCATCACCCTACACCAACACCATAACACCCCCCACCATCACCATGAACACCCTCCATCAACACCATGAACACCCCCCTCATCACCATAAACCCCCCTCCATAAATCACATGAACACCATCATCACCATGAACACCCCATCAAAACCATGAACACTCCCATCAACACCATGAACACCCCCATCACACCATGAACACCATCATCACCATGAACACCCTCCATCATCACCAATGAACACCCTCCATCATCACCATGCAACCCCATCAACACCATAACACCCTCCACATCACCATGAACACCTCCATCAAACACATGAACACCCTCCATCATCACCATAAAACACCTCCTCACACCATAACACCCTCCATCAACACCATGAACACCCTCCTCACCACATGAAACCCATCAAACCATGAAAAACCCTCAACACATGAACACCCTCCATCACCATGAACCCCCTCCATACACATGAACACCCTCCATCATCACCATGAACACCCTCCATCAACACCATGAACACCCTCCATCATCACCATGAACACCCTCCATCAACACCATGAACACCCTCCATCATCACCATGAACACCCTCCATCACCATGAAACCTCCATCAAAACACCTAACACCCTCCATAAACCACCATGAACCCCCTCCATACACCATGAACACCCTCCATCACCTTTAACACCCTCCATCACCATTAACAACCCTCCATCACCATTAACAACCCCCACCCACCCATTAACCCCCTCCATCACACCCATGAACACCCCCATCAACACCATGAACCCCTCCAACACATGAACCCCCCATCATCACCATGAACACCTCCATACCCATGAACACCCTCCATCACCAAAAATTAACACACCTCCATCACCTTTAACACCTCCATCAACACCATGAAACCTCCATCACCTAAACACCCCCAAACATCACCCATTGAACACCCTCCATCACCATTAACACCCTCCATCCCATTAACACCCCCCATCACCATTAACACCCTCCTTTCAACCACCATGAACACCCTCCATCATCACCATGAACACCCTCCATCAAACTTGAACACCCTCCATCACCATTAACACCCTCCATAAACCATGAACACCTCCCATCACCTTTAAACCCCCCCTTTCCATAAACACCTTTAACACCCTCCATCACCATGAACACCTCCATCAACACCTCCATCATCACCATGAACCCCTCCATCATCCCAAAATTAACACCCTCCATCACCATAACACCTCCACACCATAAACCCCTCCATAAACCATTAACACCCTCCATCAACACCATTAACCCACCCTCCATCACCATAAAACACCCTCCATAAACCAATAACACCCTCCATAAAAATTCAACACCATAACACCCTCCAAAACCATTAACACCCCCACTCACCATAAACACCCTCCATCAACCCCATGAACACCCCCATCACCATTAAAAACCCTCCATCAACACCTTTAAACACCCCTAAACATCACCATAACACCTCCATCATCACCATCAACACCATTAACACCCTCCATCCATCACCATCAACACCTTTAAACACCCTCCATCATCACCATCAACACCAAATTTAACACCCTCCATCATCACCATGAACACCCTCCTTTCCACCATAACAAAAACCCTCCTATCACCATTAACACCCTCCATCATCACCATCAACACCATTAAAAACCCTCCATCATCACCATGAACACCCTCCATCACCATTAACACCCACCATCAACACCATAACACCCTCCATCACCTTAACACCCTCCATAAACACCATAAACCCCCATACCTAACCCTCCACATCACCATCAACACCATCATCCCCTTTCAACACCATCATAAAAAAACCCAAACCTTCATGAGTGTTTATATGTTTAATCAAATTAAAGTAAGGAGATAAACATTTGTTTACATTAGCATATTATTGTCATTAAAACGTGTGGGGCGACGTTCCTGGAATAAATTTATTAAAACGTCAACAATTAAGTCACAATACTATTGTTGCAACAACTGCCACAATACTGTGGCTGCAAAAACTGCCACAAAACTGGGGCTGCAACAACTGCACAATACTGTGGCTGCAACAACTGTCACAATACGGGGCCCTGCAACAACTGTCACAATACTTGGGCTGCAACAACTGCCAAATACTGTGGCTGCAACAACTGTCAAATACTGTGGCTGCAACAACTGTCACAATATGTGGCTGCAACAACGTCACAATACTGTGGCTGCAACAACTGTCACAATACTGTGGCTGCAACAACTGCCACAATACTGTGGCTGCAACAACTGCCACAATACTGTGGCTGCAACAACTGTCACAATACTGTGGCTGCAACAACTGTCCAATACTGTGGCTGCAACAACTGTCACAATACTGTGGCTGCAACAACTGTCACAATACTGTGGCTGCAACAACTGTCACAATACTGTGGCTGCAAACAACTGTCACAATACTGTGGCTGCAACAACTGTCACAATACTGTGGCTGCAACAACTGCCACAATACTGTGGCTGCAACAACTGTCACAATACTGTGGCTGCAACAACTGTCACAATACTGTGGCTGCAACAACTGGTTCACAATACTGTGGCTGCAACAACTGCCACAATACTGTGGCTGCAACAACTGTCACAATACTGTGGCTGCAACAACTGTCACATTACTGTGGCTGCAACAACTGCCACAATATCTGTGGTTGCAACAACTGTCACAATACTGTGGCTGCAGACAACTGCCACAATACTGTGGCTGCAACAACTGCCACAATACCGTGCCTGCAACAACTGCCACAATACTGTGGCTGCAACAACTGCCACAATACTGTGGCTGCAACAACTGTCACAATACTGTGGCTGCAACAACTGCACAATACTGTGGCTGCAACAACTGCCACAATACCGTGGCTGCAACAACTGCCACAATACTGTGGCTGCAACAACTGCCACAATACAGTGGCTGCAACAACTGCCACAATACTGTGGCTGCAACAACTGCCACAATACTGTGGCTGCAACAACGTGCCACATACTGTGGCTGCAACAACGCCACAATACTGTGGCTGCAAACAACTGCCACAATACTGTGGCTGCAACAACTGCCACAATACCGGTGGCTGCAACAACTGTCACAAAACCGTGGCTGGCAACAACTGTCACAATACCGTGGCTGGCAACAACTGCCACAATACCGTGGCTGCAACAACTGCCAAATACTGTGGCTGCAACAACTGCCACAATACTGTGGCTGCAACAACTGCCACAATACTGTGGCTGCAACAACTGCCACAATACTGTGGCTGCAACAACTGCCACAATACGTGGCTGCAAACAACTGCTCACAATACTGTGGCTGCAACAACTGCCACAATACCGTGGCTGCAACAACTGTCACAATAC